CTCAATAGAACCGTCCTTCACCTCCCATGCCCTCCATCACCAAAACATCGCCTACCACGCCCGTCCCCCTCACCTGCATGGGCAAACATCGTACTCCCCTCTTCCGCAACAATGTACTACCCCCACTAACGCCCATCCGCTCACCCAACAGTACTACCCTATCCACCACACCTCCACCTCCGCCGCCACAGGAAGCCCTCGACCTTCACCAGCGGAAAACAACAACACGGATCAACTCTCTCCATACATCTTCTTATTAGGACAAACGAGTGTCTTGGGCAATTTGCAGTGGTATATTTTGGGTCATACGAGTATTCCACAGTGAGTGGATTTATCATCATAACAGATAAAATAATCCCTTGGCGAATGCGTCTTGCCACCATGCACTCCACTGTCATGGCGAATTCCCATAATGGAAAGACAACTCTTAAGCATGACAACCATCCGTCTGTTTAAAACATGCTATTAACATCATCTCATGTTTTATCTGGTATTTATCTCCGATATATTACCTTTTCAAGCACATTGACTAAGGATAGAATGGTTCCGCTTAAATGTTAATCGTATTTTCGATAGTCTTGTGTCCTCTCAATTATTGCACTGTTGCCCATAAGGTCTGGAAATTAACCGTCTACACTATAGTATACAATATATACATAGTTGATTATGAAATGACTTCTGAATAAAAGACATTTCCTTATGGGGGATGTTTAATTGTTCATCTAGTATTGGGTTTTCATTATACTATTATTAATTATCTATCTATTGTTATTATCATTCTTACTATTCGTTATTTAATATCATCCATTGTTTATAACAATTTTAATTTTGCTTATTTATTGATTTACTTATTAATCTCTTTTCCCGGGCAGTCTACGGAGTGTCGCCATCTCTCCATTAACGACTATCGTGTTAGTTTGAGTAATGTGGTTACTGTCCTATGAACTTGCTCGGACGCAAGTGTCCAATGTCACGGACTATTGTGCCTTGCTAAGCCAAGTGTCCGCACTCACATCCTCGACATATTGCGTTGGAACTTGAGTCAGTGTGCATACGTATCCTAGTTAAACATTGCCTCTATACGCCTCCATCACACAGTGGATATCGCACATCCACCGCTTTCTTAACGAGGCACAGCATCTATATCGTTCGTTGTCTACAAGGGCAGATGCATCCCCCCCCACAGTATCCTAAAGACCTATAGTCCCTGTTGTAAGCCGCACCCCCTCAGGCCATATTCCTTCATTCGTATTGATTAAGGCAATGCCCCATGATCTACCGCCAACGAGATGTGTCTTACTAGAGCCAGACGCACCCAATGTCTAATGCGCATTCCTTTTGAGGGACAGCGCACCATGTCCTAACGCCTCTTGCTCCGCCTCTCTCACAGGCCGAAGCTTCCCGCGCCTGGCGCCTCAACTCCCCCCCACCCGCTGTCCCTCCGACGACGACGACGCGAACCCCCCCAGGTCACTCCTACGATCAGTACGCCACCAAGGACGACGCCTGATGAGCGCCACGAGCCAAGATGGCACGACTCTGCGGAACGGGCGGGACTCGAAAAGGAGCGCGGTCTCGAGGCTCCTGTAAATGCGAAGGAACATGAGGGACGTGAATGTGCTAATGGAGCACGAGGAGCTGTGGGAGAAGTTGCACGAATCACGGCACCGAAGAATGATTATCAAGGAGAGTGGAGGATAAATGGTGGCGCCGCGAGTCTATTTGCTTTAAGGGTGGCATGAGGGACGTAATGCGAAAAGGGGAATGAGAAGAATTGGAAATACACAAGAGGGGAAATATAACAAAGGAGAGAGAAACAATGACAGGGAGAGGATATACTCAAGAATAATAGAATGAGAGGGGGAGAACATAACGAAAGGGAGAAGAAATAAGACGGCAAATAGAATCACAAGAGGGGGGGCATAAGACGAAAGGGAGCAGAAATACAGAAAGAATAGAATAGAAAAAAAAAGGGGGCGGAAATATGAGGAAAGGGAGAGAAAATAAGAAAAAATAGAATAGAAAGGGGGAATATGAGGAAAGGGAGAGAATATCAGACGAGAAAGACTCAAAACAACTCAGTAGAAGGGAGTAAGTGTGAGCACGCGAGTTTCTGTATAAGGGAATTACGAAAGGGAGAGAAATAAAGATTGAAGGGGGAGGAAATAAGAAAGAATTGAAATAAGAAGGGGGGGAACGTGAGGAAAGGGAAAGAAAACTAAGATAGAATTGAAATAGGAAAGGGGAAACAGTGAGGAAAAGATAGAGAAAATGAGGAATTGAAAGAGAAAGCGGGAACATGAGGAATCACGGGAGAGAAAATTAGAAAAATAGTATAACGAAAGGTGAACATGAGGAAAGGGGAAGGGAAATGAGAAAAAGCAATAGATTGACAGAGCGAATTCATACCGAAAGGGAGAGAAAATAGAAAGATTGAAATAGGAAATGGAAAATATGCCAGGAGACAAAGGAGAGGAAATACAGAATAGAAAAGGGAAATATGAGGAATTGGCAGTGATATAAGACGAAAAAGATTTAAAAAACACTATCATAAGACAAGGGAAAATAAGCCGCGATCGCCGTATGACATGAAGAGAGAGAAGAAAAACGAAAGGAATAAGGGGAAGAAAATACCGATAAATAATCGGGGAGATAAATTGAAATAAGGATAACATATATAACAAATGAAGAAAAAGCAAATGAGAGAATAAGACGAGAACGAATGAAAGAGAACGGGAGTAAAATAGGAGAAGGATGGCATTACGAATGGTACAATCAGAATTAAAGAGCAGAGAAATGGGAAAGCTAATGAAGAAGACGACCTCATCCTTTCGCATCACCCAACAACTCCACCTACCCCCTC